TTTCAATAAAATAAACTGAATTAAGTTTGAATACAAGTTTATTTTAAGCTTTTATATGAATTTCTTTCAGACATTCGAAGTAATTTATTAAGCAGCCTATTTCTTTTAATTTCTGCAAACTTTTTTATGCGGTTTTAAGTTAATTTTAACTCGTTGTTTTGGTTTTATGCGATTTTAGAAAATTACGGAATGTATCCCTACTTTTTCAAGGCAAGTAAAGTCTTTTTTTATGCGAATTTTTTATTTGCGCTTTTCTGTAGAACGTATCCACCGCATAAAACGAGACCTTACAGTACTTTGTACCTTATCTCCTTTCGTTTTTGGTATGTGTAATCTGTACATCTTAGATTAAACTCTCTGTTCAAACCAAGTAGTTCCCTTTTTACTTTACTCCGCTGCCACACCCTGCATTTATTACAACAGTCTTTCATTCTTAAAAATTAGAATACACTTAACATTATATGTTTTTCTGCAATTATCATATTATTATTATATAAACAGCTAATAGTAGTAACTTATTATCAAGTGTATAAAAAAATGCTTTAAAAATTTTGAATATCACTAACAAAAAAAAAAAGTAGAGATCATAATTATCTAAGTTAAAAACCCTTTAAGTTAAAAATATATAAACTTTTACAAAAGTCTTACTAAAAAATCTTTGCATGTTGTTTGTTTGTCTGTTGAGTATAAATAATAATCGATAAAAAAAAATATGAAAAATATTTCATGTTAAATTATAAAAATAAAATCTTTTTAGATAGTATATTAAGTTCATAAAACATTAACCCTATACATAAATATATTGATATTTTTAGAACTATGACTTTTTACATATCATAAAAAGTAATAGTCCTACTCAATGTTTCTGATTTGGCATATACTGTACACAATCACCATGTAAGTTGCCTGAGATGTTCAAAATTTCTTTCTTTTGATGTAGATCTGATGAATAACTATATAGTGTGCAAGCAAAAAAAAAAGTTATATTTTTTTTGTGTGTGATAATTCTTTTATATTACTTAGCAGTTTATAAAAAAAGAAAAAAATGCATCCTACAGTTTGGATAACTGACTTCATTACAGGACAACTGACGTCTAAAGCTAGTTGCACGAGACAACTAGTAGATATTCTTAATTTCTAATCCTGCTGTATATAACTATAAATAAATAACTAATTGTTATTATTATTATTATTATTATTATTAAATATGATAACTGTTTACTTCTTAATTTCTTAATACTTTATTTGTATCATATTTGTACTGTCTTTAAGTATTTCATTAAAAAAAGAAAAAGTAACGAATGATGTTATCAAGTGTTGCTATAAAAAGAAAATATTATATATATCTATATATAATATTTTCTTTTTATAGCAATTAATTAAAATTTATCTATATGTATATATAGATAAATTTTACTTAATTTCATAACATTTTAAATTAAATGAGAAATACAAACATTACTTACAGCTTGAAGATATGGCTCTATTGTACTACAAGTTCTTCTTAAGATATCTTTTGCTAAATTGTACGCATTCTTATTTTGGGTCTAAATGAAAAAGAAGAGGAAATGCTATCACAATTGTGATAAAAAAAATAATTATAAAATTATCAAATTTACATTCAAATCATATTTAATGTATGATAGGTTCTCAATTATTTTATAGTAAATTATCAAATAAATATGCCAATCACAGTTTTAATTCAAATTTTATAAATTTCTTCTTTTTTTTTAATAACATATTAAAAATTTTCTCTCATTATAAAACTTTGTTGTTATGAAGCAGATTCACAAGTAATAGATAAAAAATATTCTAATTTTGGAACTACTCATAAGACTAAAAATTAAAATGAAGAAATAAAAGTCTTATCTTTCCTATTTTATATTTTAACCCCTAATTTTAAAAAAGAATTTGAATAAGAAAAAATTATTGTGACATTGTCATAGTGCCAGACTGCAATTTTTAATCATATTTTCAATTTATTTAATTTAAAATATATGCTTTCCACCTCAAATTAGAAGTGTCTTGCCCCTGTATATCATATTTTTCCTGCTAGCAACACAGTTGTGCTGGTCATCTAACTCCTTTCAGGGGTAAATTTTTGAATTGAAATAATGTGACTTATGGTGCAAACTGGAAGTTCACGTATAGTTCATTGGAGGCTACCTAAGCTTTTGGGGGATACCGACCTTTTATTTGAGATTACATGTCCGCCGTCCAATGTAAATGAGCTAGAGGATTTTTTAACTCATTTACATTGGATGGCAGACATGTAGCCTCAAATAAAAGGTTGGTATCGCCGTAGATTTGTTATTGCCTCAGCTAAGCGTGTGAAGGGACAGATGAAGATAGACTCAATTATATGTATAGTCCGAAAAGAAATATATTTGTAACTAAATTAAATTAAAATTAAATAAATATTACAAGAAGTCAAATATATCAAACTCACAGTTTCAATTCTTCTACAATCACAGAATTAATAGCAGTCTTATATAATCCACAACAATTAAAACAATACTACATCTTCATTAATAAATAATGCAATGAAAACAGACAAATACAAAATTACAATACTTAAATGAACTATTATAAAATTACAATGCAGGATCAGTATGGATTAAATACATTTTATTTTATGACGTCTTTAATAATGTTATACCATTTGTAAATTTCAAAATGTTAATAGATTATCTTTTTCTGGAAACTTTTAACTGCAATATGTTCTTTAAACTTTCTTTTATAAATGTCTGTATCATTATAGAGGATTTGATTGTTTCTTCTATTAACTGTACACTTGTTATTGCCAATATATGGATATATCATGGTGATTGTGTACTTATGGAGGAATAAACTAATGATAATTTCAAAATATAAACTTTTTAAAGTACTTTTTGAAGCTAACTTATTTAATCATTACTGTTTTCAGAAATCATCAACTTATGTGTTTAAAAACCTTGTTGAAAGAGTAAATAATAAACTAATATATAAAACATTTAAAGAACTAACAATAAGATTTATATTTAAACCAGTTTTAATGCTATAATCAAAATATTCTATTTCACTGCAACAAAAATTTGAAATAAAAATAAACGACTAAAACACTAAATATCAAATTTATTCCAAAAAAATTATAAAAATTCGATGGAGTCAGAAATTTTCTCTTTTGTTTTCTTCTTACATAAATGTAAAATTACAAAAAAATTTTTATGTTTTTCTTTCCCTTCTGACTTTTTGATAATATATAACTTCAATTTTTAAAAAATCAAGCAATAATGACTATAAAACTTTAAAAAAGAGTTAAAAAAGGGTATAAAAAAGAAAATAATTTGCAGAGAAGAACCTTTTATTTACATTATTACTAACAAGCTTCCCAAATGCATTTTGCCTATGGCCTCTTCAGTGGGGCTTACAAATTTATATTTAAGATAAAACATGTTCAGAGAAAAGAATCTAAAAACTTGAGAAATTCTGTGTGTATATCTAACATTAAGAAAGTTTAATAGATGTATTGTATTTCCTTGATTCTAAGACATCATGAGTTTGAAATTGGATTTTAAGATTTTTTTTATATTGTGATAATGTTTTTAAAATAATCAATTTTATTAAATTTTGTTGACTATAAGTTAGAAAAACATGAAAAAGCCTTAAAACAGATAATGTTTGTAAAATGGAAACAGAAAATAGATATTGCGTTATTTCCAAGCTCTTATGCATATAAAAGAACCTTTGATTGCTGCATCATAATGTTGTCTTGAAGGAATCTTAAAGATTAAAAAAAAATTATAATTAAATGTTCATAACAACAAAGTTTATTTAAACTGATTTGACTATTGAGTAATATAGCCAAAAACATGTATTATTGGTGTATGAGGCACCATAAATCTATTCACAATGATTGTTAATTGCCATTTTACGCAGCAAATGTAAGACACCATTAATTCTAAGATGCATCTCTATTTTAAACAAGTAAAAAATAGTTAAAAAAAAAAGTGTATCTTAAAACTGATTTAATACAATAATTAAAATTATTATGTCTCTTCAAATCAACATAAAAAATAATTAATATGAGGCTAAAATTATAAAAAGTATTTCATAATTAATTAACTAAAAATTGAAAAACTAACAAGATGCAAAGCAGCTCAGTTATGATATTAAATAAATCAATCAATAAAAACACAAAGAAATTAGTAATTCAAGATGAGTTACAAAAAATAACCTTTCTTGGCTCAATGATCTGAGCTAAGATAATATCCAATAGTTCTTGAGAGACAGAATCTGCTTCACTTATAAGTGGACACATCATATCCATCATAAAATTCTTTACTTTTGTTGAGTGATTATCACTGTAAATGAATGAATAAATATTAGTTAAAGATAATTATATAAATTCAATCATAATGTATCTTGAATGAATGTTTTGAAAATTTTTCATATTTTTTTAATGATAATTTTATGTTTATTCAATAACTAAAACAAAGTTCTTAATGCTAAATTAATTAAAATTATTATTATTAAAATTTTATAATTAAAATCGTCAAAATTTGTCATCTAAGTGCCTAAAAAACATGAAAACTGGACAGCATTTTCTTTGATAAAAACCTAGTTTAACAACTTGTCAGAAAAAAATATATTTATGAAAATTATCAATTTTGTAATTTAATAATAATATTTGGATTAATATTGAAACAAATGAAATATATAGCC